CCCCTTATCTAGCCTAGGTGGTGTGTCAACTTATACATATATTGTTATGTAGAAGTTATAGGCTAGATATGGCATATTCTTAGTGGGTACAACCCAAATGCTATATCTCTCCTGTTCTCCATTGTTCTAATTATTCTTTCTAGAATAAACAATAAGGACTAGTTGCCCAGGAGACAAGGGTAGAACCCGTCAATGCCTGAACGCGTACCGTTTGGTCGTAAGGTTGGCTTTTGAAATGGCCACGGTAGCGTTTTTCTATACAGTCTATAAGTCCTTGACGAACTGTTTCGATCGTAGGGCAGGGCTCTCAACTAACAGTGTAGTGGGAGTCATGGGGTTTAGACCGTAATTCAGGTAGAACAATGATTGGGCAGTCGTTGACGAATGGGCGTTGTTATACGCGAACACGATCAGAGGGAGGGAATCTACGCATTGGGTCGGGTCGGTACAGGTTGTCCGTATCAGTTGCTCCATGGTCTGATTTGTCCGTTCAGTCTGACCGTCGGTCTGTGGGTGGTAAGCAGTGGACAGATGGACGTGTACAGTACTGTTCCCACATTTTCTTCCAGAAGTTGGACATGAATCGGGGGTCACGATCGCCTTCGGGATTCCGTGCAGGCGAACGATGGTTGAGATGAACAGCTTGGCAGTTTGCACGGCTGTGATCGTCATTCGGCATGGCACGGAATGAGCCATTTCGTGAGTCGGTCACGACCACGAGTACGACATCATTTTGGGATGCGCCGGCTGGCAGTCCTGTCACGAAGTCATTTTGGTGAGAGGGTTTCATCAGTGGCAGGTGGGCCATGAGGCCACATATTGCTGCACGTCGTGGCTCGCATTCGGCCAGTAATAATGACGTTGGAGCATTTTCAAGGTTTTATCAACCCCGAAATGTCATAAGCAATTAGCGTCATGAACGTCCTGTATCAGTAATTCCAGTAACAGTCGGTAGGATGGAACCCAAATTCGGTCAGTACAAGCTTTAAGATGGTAGTGACTATCAACTTATACATATGTTTATATGTAGAAGTTATAGACTAGATAGGTTTGTGTTCTTGGAGGGTACAACTCCAACCCTATATCTCCCCTGTTCTCACTTGTTCTAGTTCATTCGGCTACTCTAACATGGTATCATAGTAGGTTTGGTCCGCCCACCCGCTTCCGCCCTCGCCCTAGCCTACCGCCCCGTCGTACCCTAGCCTTAGCGCGCCCCGCCGGCCCTTAGCGCCCCGACGACCCCGCTCCCGCAAGCTGGTCCTCTACGCGCCTTGCCGGCCATTAGCGCCCGCCGGCCCTTAGCGTCACGCCGGCCCCTCGCGCGCCTTGCTGGCCCTTAGCGCCCCACTGGCCCTTATCACCTCGCTGGCCCCTCGCGTACTCGCCGGCCCCTCGCGTACCCCGCCGGCCCCTCGCGTGCCCGTCGGTCCCTCGTGCGCCTTGCCGGCCCTTAGCGCCCCGCCGGCCCTTAGTGCCTCGACGGCCCTCGCGTACCCAACTGGCACCTCGCGTACCCCGCCAGCCCCTCGCGTGCCCGCCGGCCCTTAGCGTCTCGCCGGCCCTTAGCGTCCCGCCGGCCCTTAGCGTCTCGTCGGCCCTTAGCGTCCCGCCGGCCCTTCGCACCCCGCCCGGCCCTTCTCACCCTGTCGGCCCCTCGCATGCCTGCTGGCCCCCTTTAGCACCCCGCTGGCCCTAGGCGCCCCGCCAACCCCTCGAGCGCCCGCTGCCCCTAGCGCCCGGCCTGGCCCTAGCGCTCCGCCGGCCCTTGGCGCCCCGCCGCCCCTTTCGAGTCCCGTTGGCCCATCGCACCTTGCCGGCCTGCTGCGCGCCTCGGACCCTGTGTGCCCTGCATGGCCTTCTGCGCGGTCTTCCCGCCGGAGAGGTCTGCCGCCATGCCGCTGTGCCGCCATGCCGTTGAGTACCTGTGATGTTGTGTCACCGTGTTGCTGTGCCGCCGTATCGCTGTGCCGCTGTGTCACTGTGTCGCTGTGCCGCTGTGTCGCAGTGCCGCCGTGAAGCTGTGACGCTGAGGTTGCACGATGGCGGACACCGTACTCCGCCTGGACGCGGAGGGGCACGCGATCGACTTCGCCGCCTGGCTTGTTGATCTTCGCCGTCACCTGATAGGTTAGCGCCCGGATGGGCACTCCCTGGCTGTGCATGTTGATGGTTTGCTTCCCCGCCCCCCCGTGCCTGATCTCCTCCCTGCTGACCCTACAAATGCTGAGCGTGAGGCCTTTTCTGCTACTACGCTCACTCGCGCTGTCTGGGATTCCCGCGATGCCGTAGCGCAGCTAGCCATTAGTCATGCTCTTCCCCTGTCCGAGCGTCTGCGCTTCACTGCTGTCGCGAACGCCAAGGATTTCCTAGATACAATAGTTGAGCGCTACTCCACACCCGCCTCCGCCTCTGCTGGCTGCCTGAGAACTTTCCGGCCCTGTCTAAGATAGAGACTCGCCAGCGCACTATCGCTCAGTCGAGCGGTGTTGCGGCAGTCCCTATCTTTTGGGGCTGTGCTCCCTCCTAGTGCACGTATGCTAACGTTTCCACTGCGGTCGCTACAGCTGCTCCTGCCGCTGAGACCGCAGCACCAGCCTTCCCGCAGCAGCAGCGACAGCGCCAGGGCCGTCGCGGCCCCAAGGGAGGGCGTGGTGGTGGTGGTGGCGGCGACAGTGGTTCGGACGAGGGGGCTGGGGCAGGCATCCAGGAGCAGCAGCAGCCACAGCAGCAGCCGCAGCAGCCGTGGGCCCGCTTCCCGCCGGGGTGGCCAGGAGCCCCTGGAGGGGTGGCCGAGGTGGCGGTCCTCGCAGCTCCTACCAGCGGCTTCGGTGCTGTGGGCTGCCAATACTAGCTCCAGACCGGGCCCCTTTGTGGCACTGTGTGCCGCCATCCGCACCCGACCACCCGCTGCTTCCGCCGCCTCGAGGACCTCTTTCGTCGCCGCTTCGGCCCGGCCCCAGACCTCCCTGACTGGCCCAGTCTGCTGTGCCATGGTGTGCCTGTTTTTGACTTAGACATGGTTCAGATTACATCTGCCTTGCATTCTCTGTATGCTGACGCTTCTAGTGTGTCTAGATCTTATTACCCTGTGTTCTCTAGCTTAGGCGTAGCACCTATATGTAGTACAGAGACCCCTGCTGCGTCAGGCGTAGGACCGTTTTCTTTGTCTAGTCTAGGCTCCACAGTCGCACCTCCTTCGTCTGCCGCTACTGCTTCGCTGTCCTTCACACTTGACTCCGGTGCGTCTGCCTGCTTCTTCCGCGACCACGCTGCGCTTATGCCGCTTGTTGCGCCTGCCGTTGTCACACTTGCTGACCCCTCCTCTGGTCCTGTAGTTGCTCGTAGCTATACTACCCTTCCCTGTCCAACCGTAACCTCGGGTTCCCTTACAGGCCTGCACATCCCATCGTTCTCCCATAACTTAGTGCTGGGTGGACGCAGACCAGTGGTCCTTACTGGGCACACATACGCTTCTTGGGCAGACGATGCTGAGAGACGCAAGTCCTCCCAGGGTTACTGATTTAGCCTTGTTCAGATGCCATCTCGTGGAGGTCCACTCGCTCAGTCTAACTGTGAGGTTGAGATCTACGCCGGTGCCATGGCGGCACAGGAGCTCCGCTGGCTGACCTTCTTGCTCACTGACTTAGGTGAGCGGCCTAGCTCTGCACCGAATCTATACGGTGAGAACAGGGCTATGATCCTCCTGTGTCAGGAGCCTCGCCTTGAGGGCAGAGCAAATCACATCCAGCTGCGGTACTTCCTCCTGCGCGAGCTGCAGCAGCGTCGCCAGGCCCGCGTAGTACACGTGGCCTCCGGTGCCAACACAGCTGATATCTTTACGAAGGCACTTGCGCCTAAAGATCATCAGCAGCACTATTTGCAGTTTTTTTCTAGTTCCTGTAGCTACTCACTTGCTAGGACCTTGATTGTGTAGTCCTCTTTATATATACCTTTTTGAATGGCCTTGTGGCTTCTCTTCCAGTGACCGGACTAGTAGTGCCACATTGGTTTGCTCTTTTCTTGTTTGTACTCTTGCTGACTGCACTTTGGACCCCTACCTTAGAGGTTGGACTAGTATTGCCACCCTGAGCTGCGTGTTTCTTGCTCAGCACTACCCTTTATCTAGCCTAGGGGTGTGTCAACTTATACATATGCTTATAGGTAGAATTTATAAGCTAGATAGGTTTGTGTTCTTAGAGGGTACAACTCCAACCCTATATCTCCCCTGTTCTCACTTGTTCTAGTTCATTCTGCTAATTGACAGTGGCCTCATTGAGCGATGAGGGCCTGGTGGCCGTTAGAGGTGAAGAGAGGATCCGTATTGTAGCCGTGGGTAAACAGTCCAGTTAGCAGCAGTTAGCTTGGGCAATTAATACGGCGACTGTATAGGCAGTAGGGCAGGAAATGACATCGACAATATTATTTGGAAGTGTCGGACTCGACGTCGCGTGCAGGCTTGGGGTCTCGAACGTATAGTAGTTCAAATCTGATCTGAATTGTCGGGCAGAGCATGGACTTCCGAAAGTCAGGGCTGTACTCAATGTTAGCGAGGCTCGATAAGGACAAGTATTTTTCCTTACAATGCAGCTCATAACATGTCCCAGTACATTTACCCATTACATCCAAAAGAATGTAACGGTAACAAATAAGAACAAATGGAATTTTGTAGCTCACATGCGAGCATGGACAAACACCAACACCTACCTAACATTCATAAAGCCTTATTATTTGGCCAGACTGTCAAACATATCCTTGCATGTTGTTCTAGAATATACAGGATTGTGCCTTAGAGAGTACAACCCACTAGGTTATATTCCCTTGTATGACATGGTTCTATTCATTTCGTTAACTTTGATACAGACAACTATCGTTCATCAGCAATAGCTTGTCTCAATTTCATCGAAAATACTCCGAAGCTTGCTAACCATAATTGACATTGGAGGCCGTTGCTTCCAATTGCAGCAGATGGCATAGCGAACCAGAGTGACGGCAATAAGAACAGGCCTCCTTGCCCACTCCCCCTCGATAGCAGGGTCCATAACCAACAAAGGGTCGGGTAAATCCTTGGAGATTATTAACTGCCTCAACTCCTGGTACTGTGCACTGAGGGGGCAGCAGCCAGACATCAGCTCCAATAAGAACACGCCAAAAGCGAAGGTGTCAGATTTCTGGCTTAGTTGGCCAGTCTGGAAATAGATTGGGTCGATGTAGCCCATAGATCCAACCACTTTCGTTGAGACGTGCGTTTTCCAGTCATCTATAGTGCGAGCCAAACCAAAGTCAGCCACCACCGGAGTGAGATCCTGCAGTTACCAGTAACAGATTAAAAGGATGGAACATATAGATCAGATAAGGTGCTGATATGAGATGGAATGGAATGAGTCAGCACAAATTTAGCATGTACGGGGAGCAACTCAATGCAGCAGAAGAAAGGTCACAGCGTAGCAGGTGACAAAAGAATGGAATTATCGAAACACTCCCACCCAAGATAATATCATGGCCCCGTACCTCTCGCAGAAGCTCATTTGACGACTTGAAGTCACGGTGAACAATGTTGTGTGCGTGAATGGTAGCTAGTGCCTTAGCACACCCCAAAGCCACCCTCATACGATCCTCCAAGGGAAGTGCACCTCGCCCTGGGGGACTGGATATGGAGTACGGGGGAGGGGGAAGAGGAAGGGGAGAGGGATGAGGGGGTTGTTGTTGTGAGTTGCTATCCGCTTGGAAGAGCGAGAGGAGGATAGAGAATATACGAGAGAGGAAAAGCAGGGAGAGGAGTGGGGAGCGAAGAGGAAATGCTAGCTCACCTCTTTTGAGGAAGCACTTGACGTCGCCCCCACAGATGAGCTCGAACACTAGGACAGGCCCTTAGGTTGTGTCTAACGCCACGCCTTCCAAACGCAGGATGTTGGGATGATTCACTGCTGACATGGCTGCCACCTCAGCCTGAAAAATGGCAAAACGCAAAATGTACTGACGAGCAGGATGCAAAGCCGCCGCATTTGCCATGCACTGGGACACAGGACGCGAAGCCCAATGCAGCAAGCTCGCTGCGTTGAGCTATGGATGGTGGAGGATGGGTGGCAGGCTTGTATTTCCCAGCTTGTTATTCGCCATGGATTCTGTGATGTGATGGGTGAACATAGAGGAGATGGGGTGGGTGGGACACATGAAAAATGGTTGAGATGGTGGAAACGGTTTTAGAAACCTTCCGATGGTCGTAAGCTGGTCCAGTATGACATGGTGCGGTGGCACTCAATGGAATGGAGACTGGAAGGGATGATAGAGAACGAGAACCCCAATGGCGATGCGGTGGGAGGGGAATTGGTGGACCTCAATATGAGGCGGCAGATCCCGTGGGAATGCCAGCCGCAATCGAGGGATTTTCCAATGCTGAGTTGGAATGTGTCGAGACTGACGACAGCAGCACGATAGTGTGACAGTGACTTCGCAATAGTGAGCATGGGGGCTGCGACTGGCTATCTGAATGAACGGACCGATTGCATTTCCTGGCTGGAGGCATGTCACACCGACGAGGCAGCGCGTCGGCACAGGAGCGAAGAACGAGTCATGGCCCTTGGAGATTGGCTGCACGGCTTTATCTAATCGGGAGCATTTCCACTTAGAGGCATTTGGCAACCACGAGCTCGCCTCACACGTCGACGTTCCACTTGCTCCAACCACCGACGAGCATCACGGTTCGGCCATGCGAGTTCCTCCTGTGCCAAAGTGGAAACACGGAAGGGAACACAAAGCTTGCGTGTGACAGCTGACGCAAGCAAAGCAGCGGACAGAAGTTTATGCTACACCTGTTCTACTTTTCACTTCTCTGCATCTACAAGGGCGGCTCGGTTTGTGTGCGTTTTTCTGGTTACCCACGACAAAACGGATTAGAGAGGTAACTTTTACAGTGCCCCGAGCCTTCGGCCTGTCAGACATAGGATGTCGTTTGCACAAGAGTGGTCTCAAATTGTCAGAATGGCGAGCGTTCGATTGGTTCATTTTGTTTCCAGGTCAAGATTCTGTCACTGTTTCGGATGACGTTGACAATATGCCCATTGATTCCTCCTGGGGATTTGCGTTAGATGGAGTTTTTAGGCGAAATGGAGTGCAGCGCTATGGAGTGTTCGCGAGAATAGGTGTATTTAGTTCTACAGTTTTGCGCGCGGCTCGAGCCTGCAGGAAACGGTCGAACACAGGCAAACGGGGAAGGGAAAATCCAAGGAAACACTGACACTTGGTTACTATGTCTCGCTCATGCACTAGATAAGTTGCCCGCGCAACCTCCCAACTCGCAATTGTTGAAATTTGACTTGACTGTTCGCTCACGTTCAGACTGCAGCCAATCACTGCCAATCAGGTTCAGTGTCAACGGGAGTCATGATTGTTAGAAATAGACTGCAAATACCACTTTTGTATTTGTACTTTTATATCCTAGTTTATGTTGTGAATGTTCTAGTGGGTTGGGGTGTACTCACAAATCCCAACCTCACCCAATTGTGATCCCCACAATCTCCAATTACCCAATTGGAGATTTCGGAGATCCCAATGGGGATTCCCTCCAATTCCCCCTTCATCCATTCTCTCTCACCTTGCCATGTACTTAAAGAGCCTTGGGCTCCTTACCTAATTAATCATTTCAACTCTATTTTCTTACAATGATGAGAACCAGGTATTTGGGATTGAAATCTGAGCTGTTCTAGGTGAGACAATAAAGAGAAATAAGTGTAAATGATTTATCACAATAAATAGGGGTTCACGAGCGGAATTTCACTCTCTTTATTCTCTAATCGAGTAGAAAGTCATCATAGTAATCAATAATGGCACATCGATGCACACTCCCCATGGCCCAAAACCATATACTGTGGTCGATCTCACATCATGTGAAACATGCAGTACATTGACCCAAATCATACTCAGTGGCAACATACCATATGCCGTTAGCAACCTGCCTCAATTCTACCGAGAATGTCCCGAAGATAGTTTGCCATATCTGACATTGCAGGCCGTTCCTCCCAGGTGGTCGAAATGGCAAAGCGCGCCAGGATGAAGGCCATCTGAGCATGCTTTCCTGCCCACTCCCCCTCTAGAAGAGGATCAACCACCAAGGAGGGCCTACTGTAATCCCTAGTGTGATCAAGTGCCTCAGCTGTCGGAAACGGTCACTGATCGGCGGAAAACCCGAAATGAGCTCTAACAGGAAGATGCCGAATGCGTAGGTGTCAGATTTCTGGCTTAGTTGGCCATTCTGGAAATAGACTGGGTCGATGTAGCCAGCCGATCCGACCACATCTGTTGTAACGTGCGTTTTCCAGTCCTCTATGGTGCGAGCCACACCAAAGTCAGCCACCACTGGAGTGAGATCCTGCGGTTACCAGATACAGACGGAAGGGAAGGGACATGGAAACCATATGAGACGGAATAGGCACGGGACGACCACCAGTGAATAGAAAACAAATACAGCACATCCATGGAGCTGCAATTTTTTTTTTTAATTTTTTTTTTATATAATGCTAAAAAACCAACCGCAATGTAGCAAAAGAAGGGAAGCAGGCTTGTACCATACCTCGCGCAGAAGCACATTTGCCGACTTGAAGTCACGGTGAATGAACTTGTGCGCGTGAATGGCAGCTAGCGCCTCGGCACACCCCACTGCCACCCTCATACGATCCCTCCAGGGGAAGTGCACCTCTCCCTGGCGGACTGGATATGGGAGTAGGGGGAGGGGGGGGAGGAAGGGGAGAGGGATGAGGGGGTTGTTGTGAGGGAAGTGCACCTCGCCCTGGCGGACTGTGTTGGGGGGAGGAGTGGGTAGGGGAAGGGGGGATGGAGGGAGGGACTTCACTATTTGAGATAACACAGGAGAAAAGCAAGGCTGAGAGCAGGTAGCAAGACAAGTGATAAGGAAAGGCATTTGCTGGCTTTCGACTGTCATTACGCGCACGTACAGGCACATGCAGGCACATGCAGGCATGTGCAGGCACATGCAGACATGCACGCACATGCAGGCACGTGCAGGCACATGCAGACGTGCAGGCACATGCAGGCACAGGCACATGCAGGCACATGCAGGCACATGAAGTACATGCAGGCACATGAGGTACATGCAGGCACATGCAGGCACATGCAGGAACATGCAGGCACGTGCAGGGGGAGTAGGGGGATGGAGGGAGGGACTTCACGAATTCAAGGCTGACAGCAGCTGACAAGTGAGAAGGAAAGGCATTTGCTGCCTCTCGACTGTCATTACGCGGACTGCAGGCACATGCAGGCACGTGCAGGCACATGCAGGCACATGCAGGCACATGCAGGCAGGTGCAGGCACATGCAGGCACGTGCAGGCACATGCAGGCACAGGCAGGCACGTGCAGGCACATGCAGGCACATGCAGGCAAGTGCAGGCACATGCAGGCACATGCAGGCACGTGCAGGCACATGCAGGCACGTGCAGGCACCGTGCAGGCACATGCAGGCACTTGCAGGCACTGTGCAGGCACATGCAGGCACATGCAGGCACATGCAGGCACATGCAGGCACATGCAGCAGCATGCAGACACATGCAGGCACATGCAGACACGTGCAGGCACATGCTTGCTATGAGGAGCGAGAGGAGGAGAGCGAACTTCTCTTTTCATGTGAGTGAGAAAGAGGGCGGAGAGGGGAGTGGGGCTACGGGGATTTCCCTCACCTCTTGTCAGAAAGATCTTGATGTCGCCTCGGGGAATAAACTCATACACGAGAATGAGGCCCTGGGATGGGTCCATGGCCTTGCCGTGCAGTCGCAAGATGTTGGGGTGATTGACGGCTGACATGGCCGCACCTCAGCCTGAAATCACGGAGCAGATGGGAGCAGAGGGAATCTATATGCAAGCAAGGGGTAAAAGAATGCATTCACGTTGGTACACGTGCAAATTTGTTGAGTTCTTTGTAACATTGTTAGTTTATTGGCACATCAACACCCAGGTGTAAGACAGAGACTCACATTGAAGCTCGTGAGGTCTTGCGCAACATCCTTCCCTTTCATCACTTTCACCGCCACTTCACACTCCCTCTCCCCCCGCCTGTAGCGCTGCTGCTTCCGCCAGCAGGCAGCACCATCCGCCCATAATACACCTGTCGAACCCCCTTCCCTACCACGCGCTTATACCCCCCGTTGCCGCCTTGATCTCCGCGGAGGTGAACTCGCGCAACACAGGGAGCGCGGAGGCGGAGGAAGCCCCGGCGGGTAAGGTGAAAGCGGAACCCGAGGGGCCGCCGCCGCCGCCTGCAGAGCGACCGGCAGAGTGACCAGCGGAGACGCGCGGAGAAGCAGCGGAAGGGATTGGGGAAAGCGGTCCCATATGCGCCAGTGTTATTTCGGGAAAGGGCGCTTGTTCCCCCCCGAAGCCGTTGGGGAACCAAGTGGGGGGAAGGGCTGGGGGAAGGGGCGCCGGGTTTAGAACCGGAGGTGGCTCCGCCACTGGCGCTGGCGCTGGTGCTGGCGCAGATTGCACGGCGCGAGGCATGCATTCGAATGTCACGTCTCGTAATAGTCTGCCGAAGGGTCATAGTAAATGGCGGCGCTGGAGGTACGGGGGACATAGGCGGCGGAGGGAGGAGGAGGAAAGGAGGAGGGAGGTGCAAGGGGTTGACTGGCTGATGTGGTTCCGGCGCAGGGGGAATGGGCAGGCGGAGGGGAGCTTGAAGGGCCAGACGGCCGATGTGGAATGGTGGTCACGGAAGGTGACTACCATATACTACGGCCGTAGAACGGCCCGTATAAGCGCATGCCGGGGACCCGCCAAGAGCCGCACGGAAGGGTTTTCGGCTGGCTAGGCGTCCAATCGGGGGCAGACCCTGGAATGGGCTCGCTGTTCACCCGGTACATCGGGTTGGCAGCCGGGGATTCGCCTTTGCTCGGTACGCCCCCACCCGGAAAACGACTTTGGGATGAAGGTGGGCTTGCTACAGAATCTTGAGACGCGGCGCGATTTGTGTGGGGGGGGGGGGGGGGTGGGGGGGGGGGTGGGGGGGAGGGGGATGGGGAAGGTGTGGGAGGTGGGAAATAGGGGGGTATGGTAGGTGAGGCTTTCAAAGCCGGAATCATCGGGATTGTCGCAGCAGTATGAGAGGAGCTTGAGCAAGGACCGGGGGTGTGCTTGTATCGCGTACAGTGTGCGATGTGCCCATAACTCATTGAATGCACTTTGTGCATATTCTGTGACCAATTGTATCGCACGGTGTGACGGGGGCGAGGGAGGAGGGTTGACCGAAAAAACTGTAAAAACTCCTTTCGCTAACTGAACAATGGGGGAAAAAAAAAATAATTTTCGCCAACTGAATAATATATCTTATATCGAAGCCCTCCCCTAGAACTCACCGGCTGACTTATTCGCTTTCGCAGGCGCGTCGTTGCGCCTGCGGCCGTAGCGAATGCCAATGATATGGCGACTTGGCGACGTGCGACCTAGCGACTTCACACGGCTGCGGCTGAAGCGATTGCCCATGGCTTGGCGACCTCGTGACCTTTTCGACGGCGGAGCGATGAACTGGCGCTTTAGGGTTCGAAACGCCTGAAGTCCGAACTACCCAATCGGAATTGTTTGTTCAAACGGTTGAACACGACCGCGTGGCAATTGAATTCAAGCAACGTTTCGAGCTCCAAATATATATGCTCGGTAATCTGAGCGATCGAGTCTAATCTGGGGAAATCTTCGCCTGCAATACTGGAATTCGCCATCTGCGGTGTGCTGCTTGGGCAGTCTCGAGCATCTCGCTGTGAGAATTTCCCTTGGAGTGCACGTTATGGCGGGAGGGGAGGGGAGGGGGAAGGACCTTCGAAATGGCGCGTACAACACCATGAAATGGGGAGGGAGCCACGAAATGGGAGGCGAGGAGAATGGCTGAGCAGGTCAGGCGAGGACTCAGGTGGGTAGATGGGGTCAGGGCGTGTTTCCTGGGTTTTGTAACTCATAGATGTCACGCAACCGAACCTTGTTACCGGGCTCGACAAGCTGCGCATGAAAATCGTGCGCAAATTATGTACACGGCAAAAACGTCCAAAGCCTGGCTAGCGAAAAATAGAACGCTTACATTCGCAAGGTATTCGTGACGGTTGCGAAGCACGGCGAAACGAACGGAAGAAGAATTGGAGTTGCATGCGCGACTCAACGGGACTCTTTCCCGGGGCGAAACTCGGTTTACCCTTCTGTTTTCGCGTGTCAGTCTATTATGTGCGTGCTGTGCACCCGCTCATTTGTCAAGCCACGGGCGGGGCTCGTGTTTGCTCGTGTCCTAGCGTTTTGCTGTTGAGACTGTAGTGTACCTCTAACACATTCTCACTTGGCGAATCAATATTTCAGCAGGTTGGGGCAAAATGAACGCGGTGGACAGCCCTGATTGTCCTAGATGCTGTTGTCCAGCGCTATTCCACCCCGCCTGCTGCCTCGGTCGGTCGTCTAATCCTCCCCATGCTCTTTCCTGACCTTGCGTCGTTCCCCACTGTCGCCGACCTGGCCGCTCACCTGCGCAACATAGACGAGCCCTAGCATGCTGCCTGCACCCCCACACAGCTTCTAGCCCACCAGCCGCCCCTCACCTCTACTCTCTACCTGTTAGCCACCCGCCTCCCTGACCGTCTTGCCACTGCCCGTGACCGCTTTCTTAGCGTCCACCCAGCAGACCTTACCCTCACTGACTTTGTTGACACCCTGTCCGCTATAGAGGCCCGCCACCGCTCTATCGCTCAGACCAGCGGTACTGTGCCGGTCCCTATCTTTCAGGGTTGTGCCCCCGCTCAGTGCACCTTCTCCGACGGTTCTGCTGCTGTGGCTGAGACAGCCGCTGCCGCACAGGTTTGTCCGGGGAAAGGTCGGCGCCCCAAGGCTGGACGTGGCGACGGGGTTGGGGGTGCGGGTGAAGGTGGTGCTGGAGTTGGGTCACCTAGTGGTGGTGCTGACTCGGGGACCCTGACAGGTGCAGCCGAGCAGCCGTCTCAGCCGTCGCCGGTGTTGCCGCCGGACCCGCGCCAGCCGCAGCCGCCGCAGCTGTAGCCGTCGCCGCAGCCACAGCAGTCGCTGCAGCAGCAGAGGCGGACGAGTCGTCTTCCGCCTGGGTGGCCCGGCGCTGGTGGCAGCGCTGGACGTGGTGGTAGTGCTCGTGGTGGGCTGCCGAGTGGTGGTTCGGGTGCCGCGCGCTGTCAGTACCTGCTTCAGACCGGTCCTCGCCGTGGCTTCGTTTGCGGTAAGATCGATCATACCTCCGTCCGTTGTTTCCATCACCTGGACGACCTGTTTCGTCAGCGTTTCGGCCTGTCGCCCGAGCTCCCAGACTGGCCTTGCTTAGTCGTAGGGTTCAGATTTTTTATCTGGACATGGATAAGATTGTTGCTGCTTTGCATGTGATGTATGCTCATGAATCTAGTGTGCTTCCGTCTTATTACCCCTTGTTCCCTATGCAAGGTGTGCCTTCCTTAGACTCCCCTACTACGTCAGGCGTAGGATCCCCTGCTTTGTTTAGCCTTGGAACGTCCGTCGCTACTCACCTGTCTCCCCTGTCTCGCACTCTCACCATATGTTGCTTCGTTCCCACGCGTCTCGTCCTCCCCTTCTCCCGTCGCCCCCTCCATCCTCCCTTTTCGTTGCTCCCCCCCCTCTGTCTGACTACCTGCGTGCCGCTCGTCCTCTTGTTCCTCGGGTCCTTGCCTCTCTCGTTACCGACCCGTCTGTTCCGGTTTCGAGCCTTGACGCCCTTGTCGCTGCAGTCGCTGACTTCACCTCTACCCGGCGCCTTAACTACGTCACCGCTCTGGTCTCTGACCCTACCTGTCCTGCGTCTGTCGGGGGTGCTCCTGCCCTTGGCAGTGACGTCGTGGAGGACCGCCAGTATGAGCTTGCTTTCCTGTCCGAGGCTGCTCCCCATCTCTGTTCCATGCTTCTAGTCCCTGAGGGTGACCCCGACGCTTTCGACATCCCGACCCCTTGCACTTACGCTGAGGCGGTCTCGGGACCTTGGGCCTCTCAGTGGATAGCTGCCATGGAGCAGGAGATGGCATCTTGGAGATCCACTGGCACCTACGTCGACGCAGTTCCCCAACCTAGGGTGAACGTAGTTGATGGCCGCTAGCTCTTCAAGGTGAAGCGCCTTCCTGGAGAGCCGCCTGTGTTCAAGGCGCGCTACGTGGCTAGAGGTTTCAGTCAGCGTGAGGGGGTGGACCTCTTCCAGACCTTCGCTCCGACCCCGAAGATGACTACTCTTCGGGTGCTACTACACGTAGCAGCGCAGCGTAACTAGGAGCTTCATTCCCTCAACTTCTCCACTGCGTTTCTTCAGAGAAGTCTACACGAGCAGATCTACCTGCGTCGCCCTCAGGCCTTCACTGGTACCTTCCCTCCTAGGACCCAGTGGCTCCTCCGGCGCCCCGTTTACGGCCTGCGCCAGGCTCCCATGAGTGGCACGACACGCTACGTGCTACGCTTGCTGACCTGCAGTTCTTTCCGTCCTCTGCAGACCCCTCGCTCTTCGTTCGTGCTGGCCAGACTCCGTTCTACATCCTTGTTTACGTAAACGACGTGGTCTTTGCCATGGCAGACAGGGACGCACTGGCCTCCGTGAAGGCAGAGCTGCTGAAGAGACACACCTGCACTGACCTTGGAGAACTGCGCCACTAGCTTTGCTTGCAGATCTCCAGGGACAGAGCAGCCCGCACCATCACTTTGACTCGGTCACACTTGGTGCGCCAGGTCCTTCAGAGGTTCGGCCTTCAGTTCTCCTTCGCAGAGCCCACCCCTCTGCCCCTAGACCACAGGCTCTCCGCTCCAGTTCCTGAGGAGTCTGCAGAGCCCAGTGGTCCTTACGCAGAGCTGGTGGGTTGCCTCATGTACGTGATGACTTGCACGCGCCCAGATCTCGCATACCCTTTCAGCATCCTGGCTCGCTTTGTAGCTACAGGCAGACACCGACCTCAGCACTGGTCTGCCGCTAAGAGGGTTTTGCGTTATCTTGCAAGTACATCAGGCATGGGGTTAGTGCTAGGAGGATGTAGGCCAGTGGTCCTTACTGGACACACAGACGCTTCTTGGGCAGACGACGCCGAGACCCTCAGGTCCTCACAGGGCTACTGCTTCAGCCTTGGTTCAGGTGCCGTCTCGTGGAGAGCTACCCGCTCCTCGTCTGTTGCCCAGTCCAGCTGTGAGGCCGAGATCTACGCCGGTGCCATGGCGGCACAGGAGCTCCGCTGGCTGACCTTCTTGCTCACAGACTTAGGTGAGCGGCCTAGCTCTGCCCCGGTCCTGTACGATGACAACAGGGCCATGATCCTCCTGTGTCAGGAGCCTCGACTCGAGGGCAGAGCAAAGCATATTCAGCAGCGGTACTTCCTCCTACGTGAGCTGCAGCAGCGTCGCCAGGCGCGCATAGTATACTTGGCCTCCGATATCTTTGCGAATGCACTTGCGCCTAAAGATCATCAGCGGCACTGTGTACAGCTGGGTCTCGTTCCTGTAGCCTCTCACTTGCTAGGGCCTTGACTTTGTACTGTCCTTTATATATATATTTTACCCAGACTGGCCTTGTGGCCTCTCCCAATGGCTGGACTAGTAGTGCCGCCCTGGGCTTGCTCTTGCCTTGTCTGTACTCCTTTTGACTGGTCTTTAGACCCTTGTCTCAGAGGCTGGACAAGTAGTGCCACCCTGAGCTGCTTCTTCCCTTGTTAGGCACTGCCCCTACATAGTCTAGGGGGTGTGTCAAATGTAACTTAGGTTGTTACTGTAGACTATGCTGGATTGTGCGTTACAGGGTACAACACCCTAGTCTATATATCCTTGTACACACACATTCTAGTTCAATCATTTTCTTTCTGATATCAGATTGCTCTTCTGTTTTCAGAGCGACAACCCCTAGTGGTCGGCGAGCCTCTAAAAATCCAGATGTGCCAGGTTCGCCAACCAATGTCGAGGCAAAAAATACATCAGCTCACTGACGGTGCTGTAGGAAAACGCCTGCAACGCCAACGGAATCCATCAACGTTGCCCCAGGAAAATCCGTCTATCCACAGCCAGTAGGAACGCGCCAAGGAGGGCGCCAAGGAATGTAACATTCTCATGAAACCTGGCCTCCGGAAGTCAGGGTAATTACACTGCTTTGTCAAGGAAAATAGGGTAAAAATTCGACCAAGCCCTGCTTTGACGCATTCAGAATATC